GCCTTCAATTTTTTTTTTCCATCTTGAAGTTTCTTCCTCAATCATACCCTTTTCTCCTAGAAGTTTCAATAACTGGAAATCCCTCTTATTGCAAGAGACCATCTAACTAGTGCAGTCAACGCCTGTGAAATGTAACCAGAACAATAAGCTTCTTGATCTAGATAGTTAATGTTTGTTACTCTGGATTCTCGACTTCTACTGGAACTATCTTAAGCCTGTACAAATCCACAGTCTGAAAATCCTACTATTCAATCCTACTATTCAACTTCTATGCACTGGAGAGAGACTTATGTACCAGGTCTAGGCACAAAAAAAATCTAAATCCAGGTCAATCAATTGTTCCTGCACCCACCAAATGTAAACTTTAACTCCTTTCCCTTTTTCTTTAGGGGAGGCATCAAACAAGCACAGGAGAGACAGGCTGTGCATGAAAAGCTGTAGCAAGTCTTATGCTGAGACATTTGGGCAGATTTCTGACAAGCTATATCAGCACCTACAAGTAAAATTCCTTATTTTAATTTAATTTCAGGCTTTACATACACATATTTACTGTTCATTCCAGTTAAAGAAGCATTTTCTGTACCTATTAGTTTAACACAATTCTTTGCTCTCTCAAAACTAGAAATAACTTAATCATACTTCCAATCTCTTTTGCTATTCAACAATTAATTTCATGCTACTTGAACCATACTTGAAGAAAAGATGCTAAACCAAAGTTTAGCATCACAAACTCAAAATTCACTGCACTCCACTCCCACCCCTAAAAAAGGAGAGAAGACAAAATCCCTCAACACCAAAACACTTCCGCTTTGGAAGAGCTGCATATAAAGGTGTTGTTTAAGCATGGTGTTAGGCGTGGACTAAAGCATTCGATTCAGATTTTTGGCAGCTGGGGCTCGCACTGAGCATTGCCTTGGCAGCTATGCTGGACGCTAAAACCCAGGCTCCATGCCCAAACACACCACAGCACAGGCACCCAACCGGCAATCCTGCTAAATCACATAAGGGGTTACCTCCCTACCACCGCCACTGCCTCAGAGGCTGCTAATTCAGTTACAATCCAGCCCTCCCTGTCTCACCGGGCGTTTCCGCTGGAGTCTCCGCAGCGTTGTTATCCCCAGCAGCACTAGAGGGCAACGTGGGCAAACCTCTTCAGCAGCCTCTGGCCAAATCCCCCACAAGGAGATTTTCCCAGGCAGGAAAGCTCCAGAGGGTCGCTGTGGTCCAAGCCCAGCCAGAGGGACAAACCTCATCCCCTACAAGCCTCGGGAGTATTTGGGAGAGGGAGAGGGAGGGAGGAGATGCTCATGCTACTGAAAGGCCAAGCAGACCAGAAGGATTCAAAAGCAGTCTGTGCTCTCAGGCACAGCCTCTGCACACCAAGGTCCCATGACACAGCCTGGCCCTTGTGTGCTACCAGAGGGAGACCAGGGCCCTGCTAGCGTATTACAGTACCCACTTGCTGTTCAGCTATTTCTGAAATGGTGAAAGTCTGAACAAATGTTAGTACATTCCCTCCCCATCTGTGGTGGTAAATCTGGAAAGCATTAACTATTACCTGAGCCTAGATACATAATTGGCAGTGACAACTCCTATGATCAGCATGTATTTGTAGGAGCCTTTTATTTCAAAGCACTTCCATGACATAAGCAGAAACTTCTCCACAAAGCTATAGCCATCAGGAGCTAGAGGCAGAGTGGCCAAGAAGAACCACTCTGAAGACTGTTTTCTCCCAATAAAACAGTCCTACCTTTTTTCCCACCTCTTGACCACACCCTTTCACTTTTGCATCCTCCAAATTAACCTCACTGCGACACAGGGGGGGTATGGTGTGAGCGCACAAGTATAAAAGGAGGAGGAAAAACACTTATGCTCCGCTAACATATCCAACAAGCTCTGAGCCTCAACACAGCCTGCCTCAGAACAGGCAGAGAAAGCGCCATCTTGCTTTGCTGCACCGTCGCCCTCCAAGAAACCTTCTCACCTTGCTGCACACTTCAAGGTAACCTGATATGAACCAAAGACCCAAATTTAGCAAAATGAGGTGGCACTGACCTGACTCCACATTCCCCAACATGGCTGGAGAAGACATTGTGAGAGACGCCTTGTGGTTTGGGGGAATCCCAGGGCTCTGCAAAGGAGGCTTTGGAGACGAAGTCCAGCCCGGAGAAGGTGCGGGGAGAGATGGAGACTTGAGGTGGACAGGAGAAGCAGCAGCAGACCCCAAAACAGGAGGGGACTTAATGGAGGCAGCAGTTGCTGCAGGCCTGCTACCATTCCTGCCAGCTGGGAGGGCGTCTGAGGAGACTTGAGGTTCCCCGACGGAGACCCCATCATGGGAGACTGGACCTGGCGCATTGTGGGAGACTTCAGGGGGTTGATTCCTGGAGAATGCACCTGACCGGCTGCAGAGATATCCAAAGGCTTGCGGCCTAGGCTGCGCTGTGCAGGGGGAGCAGTGTTGAGGCTATTCGGGTTACTGGTGGGATTGAGAGGTAGTGGCGGCATGTGGCTGAGCCGGTTGTTAGTCCTTTGGTCAGGCCCGATCTGTTCTCTGAGATTTCGGAGACCAACTCCTGGGCCCTGAGACATGGGAAGGAAAGGCCTGGGACCCATGCCATACTCCTGCTGGGGGTGCTCTCCAAATGGCAACGGCACCATTTTCTGCTGGGAGGAGAGCATCTCCGAGACACCAGGTCGTAATTTCATCATCTCTTCGGGCCCCACTCCTGCCTCCCTCAACTTCTGAGGTACCAGGGGTGGGTTGGAGGCCATGCTGACATTCATAGCCATGTCCCCCCCCTTCATGCTGCCAGGGCCCATCCCAAACTCCAGCTCCCTACTAGAGCCCATTTGTGGGGGTATTCCTTTTGGGAAGTCCCCCCTGGAGGGGCTCATAGGCCCTTCCACTGGCATGCGAGGGAAGATGGGGTTATTCCCAGGCTCCATGTGTCTCTGGGAGGGAATCATTCTGTTTAACTCCATGCCAGGCCTGATGCCTTCCATGTTCAGGCCAGGAGGGAGGCCCATCTGTTTCTCAGCCAACTGCTGCTGATAGATCTCTTCGGGCAGGCCCTGCGGATTGGGGAATCTCTCCCCTCGGCCAGGGCCACTGAAGACACCCTGGCCAGGAGGGAAGTTTCGGCCATCTGGGATTTTTGGCACATCATCTGGCCAGCTAACCCCCGAAAGCCCAGGTCTGGAGGCGGGATTTGGGACACTGGGGCCCTCCATGTCAGGGTTCATCATTCCTGCAAAACCAGGCAGGCGCATCTGGCTCCCAGGCATGTTGGGATGAGGGGCCATGCCTCTGGGGGGCAGAGAGTGTGACATGTTCATGCCTTCAGGGAAGGGCTCTGGACCCCCAGGGCCCCAGCCTTCCCCAGGGGTCATCTGGTATGGAGGGGGAGGCCCTCGAACCACTCCGCGAGGCCCGTGCTGATGGACCATCATGTCCTGCAGGGAACACTGTTGCACAACAACCTGCTCTTGCTTTCTCCTCTTCTCCTCATAAAACTCCTGCTGCAGCTTGAGCCAGGCCACCTGCTCAGGAGTCATGTGGTCTAGGTGGTCTGGGCCTATGGGTCCCGACTGGGAGTTCATGGGTGGTGGCCCCATTTCATCTGGGGAAAAGGGCATGTCCCTGTGTCCTTGAGGGCCAAACGGAGCCCCTCCATCTGTCCGAGACCCCGACCCTTTGCCTAAACTTTGGGATTGAGCCATCATGGCCTGTATGGGCCCTTCAGGTTTCTTTTGGGGACCATCCAGCACCCCAGAATTTGGGGGTGGCCCCCCGCTTTGCCCTCCTGCAAATTCCTTCTCATCAGGGAAGAGCATGCGCTGTATGTCTCTCAGGGTCTGCAACGAGCGCTCTCGATGTTCCAGCTGCTCCTGAGACAGTCCATCTGGATTCTCACCCAAACTGGATGGGTCCCCACCAGACACCTGCTGGGGAGGACCTTTGGGGTCTGCACCAGAGCTATTGCTACCTTGCGAGACTGGGCTAACTGCTCGATTATTGGGGGTCGAACTCTGCCCAAATCCTTCTGTCTGCAACGGGGTAGAGTTGGCAGGGCTGCCCACAGACATCACTTTGCTTTCCACGCTGGGACTGTCCTGATCTATGGGGCACGGGGGGCCAGTGGATTTGGATACTGGTGCTGACACGGGTGGAGTCGGCTGCATTTTGGCGTTCTGCGGAGGGTTCTGGTCCTGGGCGGTGGGAGGCTGCGGCTGCGGCAGGGGCTTGGCTTCAGTCCGAAGTGCAGTGATCGGGGGGTTCTGAAAGACAAAGCCACGTGCTGTCACTTGCTCTTCTTACAGCTATGTCACATAAGCAGAGGTGCACATGAAAGATCCTGCCTCAACCTCGCTAGCCCACGCTTTGCAAGGAAGGGTAGTATTCCCACAACAGTTACAGAGCAGCATCTTGGACATGAAGAAACATCTGTTTTGCTCAAGCAAAAGCAGGTACCCTATGCTTCTGTGCTAACTCTGCATGAGCAACAGGTCAAAAATAGGTCACCTAATTACTGCAGGACTCACTCTTCTTTGGTTGATCCAAGCCATTTATTCACAGAAGTCTAGGACAACAACTGGCTCTCTCTTTTCCACCCTAAAATTTATTTCAGAGCATAAATAATCATCTCTCTCTCTGAATCACAAACACACACAAGCATATTTACCATTTCCCTTCCCACCCACATGCAGGTAATCCCTACCAAGGGTACAGTGTTTCGTTCTGCCTTGCTGTTTGAGATGTTCTGGATATGAAAGGACACAATGGTTTCCACCTGTCCCTTCAGCACAGCTTCTGCAGCCCTGCAAAGACAGACAGACAGATGCACATACCCAGTTGAAGCTAAGAATGAAGTTTTCCTAACCACCCTCCCTTCGCTCCTTCAGCTGGCAGAAGGGAGAAAGACAGAGCCATGCATATTTGACTCCAGATGAGCAGCAAAAGAAAATGCTTACATCTATAAGCTCATCAGCATTTAGGGCTCATGTCTCCATTTAAGCCATCCCTGCCTCTATTCACTGCATGGATTGTGAAACAGTATCTATCAGCATTTGCCAAAATGCAGCTCAAGATGAAGAAATAATCACTTCTTAGAGGACAAGAAGCAGCGACGTTCTTCACCCCAGCCTTTTCATCCTCCCCAAAATACTTAGTAATGACTTTTTTCTACAGAAAAACACTTGATAGAGAAAATGCCCTTGTGAGTCTCATAAAAAAGGGAGCACAAACACAAGTCCCACTCCCTGAAGACATTCAAGCATCTACCTACTTACTTGTTGGCCATCTCAGTAGAAAAGACGTAAACCACTTTGGATGGAGTTTTCTGCCCACTTGCTGGCTCCAAAGCAGCAGTCAGGCCATGGGAAGGTGTGGAAGACCTTGGGGCTGAAGCATTTGAAGGAGTCATGGAGTGTGGTGTGTGCTGAGAATCCTGGGACTTCACATGATCAGCAGAATTGCAGTCTGGAGTGGGGAAGGAAGGGGAAAAGAGGGGAATCACTAGCTTGGGAGCTCTTTAGAGACCTCATCTTTGGCTCACATTTGGAAAACAGTCAGCACTTTTTCCCTCCAACCACTACTGAAGGATGCTCTTCTGTTACACCATGCATCTTCCCTCTAATGGCATGTTATCCTTCAGGCACTGCGGGGAGAAAGCTTATCTTGTCCCATTCCAACCCAAAAGTCAGTTCCCAGAGCTAATCCCTTTGCATTCCCTAATGGCCATGTGGAATAGCACAAAAAGTACACACTAAAAGGAAGAAATAGAAAAATGTTTGGGTCCAAGGAAAACACTGTGCAAAACTTTACTTTTTTTCTCTTTGGCAACCTTAGCCAGAAGGCCTAACAAATGGACAATAAAGCGCTGCAAATGAAAGATGGAGGACTGCACATCTAGTCTGTTTCTGCACTGCCTCACTGGGACAACGCTGGAGCAAGAAACAGAACCCAGAAATCTCAGCTCTGGCTTGTGTTACCTGTCAGAGAACTGCAAGGTATGTATCTGTTTTGTTAAAACAGGTCTGCATATTGTTCAAAACCCTAGCTCAACCAGAGCAGATCCCGGAAGGCTAAAGGCCAGAAGGAAACCAACAGGTTACATTTCTATTTTCAAATCCCTGGGGGTGTTTCAGAGTTACAAGGGAACTTTCCCACCATAGTGAGAGCTGCGCTTCAACTGAACATGAACAGGATGGACACGTTTACTGACGCCAGCTATGAAAACTTCTCCTCTTCACTTGCTCTCAAGACCTTTAGACTCCGTTGGCTGGCACTTACAGAACCACAGACAAATAAGTGTTTTGCTAACACTTGCATAGCCTAGAGATTCTTCATTTCACAAAAGGCTCATACCAGTTCTCTGCACTTGCACATGTATCCTTCTAGCAAACATACCTTTGATTTCAGGGTCGTCATTAGGAGTCCCAGCATCCCTCTGTTCGAAGGAATCTGCCGAAATGAAAAATTTCCCTTCCCCTTGGCACCATTTCCAGCCCCATTCTTCAGCCCCATGCTTCCACCTGGGCCAGGGAGTACTTTGGGGGGGTGACCTCCACTTTTGGGGTCACAGGGAGAGGGCTGGGATTGGCTGGGGGGGCCCCCCTGTTTGCCCTGGTTGGAAAATTTGGAATCCAGCTGGGGGTTGCCAGACGGGGACATCACTGTGGGGGGACGGACCATCACCTCCTGCTTTGATTTGGGGCTACTGGGGGCAAAGGAAAAAGAGAAAAGAAAAAAAAAAGTAACAGATCAGATTGTGGGATCATTCAACCCCGTGGGAACAGATTAGAGAAAAGCAGAAACACCAAGTGCCACCTTTGCAAGCTAAGGCAATTGCTGACAAATAAAAAAATGCCTGCAAGCTCAGAGTCATCCACGTGCTTTTTTGAACATGCCCTGAAAGGGTTATTATCCAAGATGGGATCTCATTGCTCAAGAAGGCACTAGGGCAAGCTGCAGACCTGCCAGAGCCCAGGAACTGCTGTCACATGAGGACCTACCTCTGGGGCTTCTGTCAATAAAGACAACGGTTTCTATGTGCACAGAGAAGCGCCTCACACCAAGACCAGCTCAGAGTAAACAAACAAGGGACAATAAAGTTCACCTCACCACTCTCCCAGACCCGAATTATACAGTGCAGCACTGCTCAGAGCAGACCCCCACCCCCCACCCTCCCCCTGCTCCTCCCTAGCCAGTTCTACAGGGAGCACAAGGAAAGCCCAGCATTACTGCAGCATTCATCATACATTGGGGCGAGCTGCCAGGGAAACACAAACCTCTGACCGTGAAAACAATTAAACCAGCTACAACCTGCCTCTGAGTAAGGAAAGAGAAGGATACCATCTCCCTGCACGCTCCTGTAAAATGGGGCACAAGAAGCTCCATTAATTGGTCAAAGGAAATTCAATGTCCTTTCCTTCCCTCTCCCATTCAGACAATTGCATCTTAAAACTATTTTCTTCCTCTGGGTTTTACACACTTTTTAGCCATCCTTTCTTCTCACACACCAGTCACTTCACTGCTACGCGGATCTTCTGCATTTTGTTTTCCCATCATCACCATCACTTCAACAGACAGTGCTTGCTAGCATCCTCTCTATGGGACTTGCATATGCTGTTTCCTCTTTTGGCCAGACATCTGACTCAGAGGCACTCCCTCCAAGTTACTCTTAAGTTCCAGATGACCTCTAGGAGTAAATAATCCAGCCTGAGAATGCAGTCCATCACACCACTGTAAGTCCCTGAACACTGCTTTGCTTCCTTTTTTTTTTCCCCTTCCAAATTAGCAGAGGGGAGATGCTGACCTGCTGCCCTGGCAGGTGAATGATAGTGCACAGCTGATCAGTTCCCCAGGCTGTTCAGGCAAATAATACGAAAGAAAGCATTTTGTGTGAAAGCACAGACAGTGAGACCTTCTGCTGTCCAACTACCCCTTGGGGAAACAGATAATTACAAGGGGAAAAAACAGACAAAACCAGCATGTTCACTGTCCTGCAACCTATTTAAACCCCTGATGGAAGGGAGGAGGAATGGAGAACCTGCACCTCACAGGTGCAGAGCTCTTTCAGCTCATCCTGAACCCAGCAAATGTGGAGGCTCCTCAGCACTGTGCAGCCAGCGCTCAATTACTCACAGCAGGCCGGACTGAAGTGCAAAGGAGGACCAGTAAGTCTCATGCATCAGTCCTTGCCTAATGCTGCAGCAGAGCAGGGACAGCACCGTGCACCAACGCACAGCCGGTCACTTTCCGACTCCTTTCCTTACCTCTGTGTGTTGCCTGACGGGGAGTTCCTCACTTTGGGGTTACTGGAATGCATTGACAGAAATCCTGAGCTCACAGTCTCACACGCAGGCAGATGGGCTCTCGTCAAGTTCCTCTGGGAAGCCTGCCGCCACAGGCAGCTCTGAAGCGCTTTCTGCCACCCGCTTCTCTCAACGCTGTCTGTCTGCTTGCCTTTTTTCTCTTTGCTCCTCTCTGGTTTTGCACTGGGCACTTCCCTCCTGCAGCTCCAGCATTCTCTAGATGTGTGCCTCCTGCTGCCCAGGGGAAGTCTCGCATCTCCAGGGCACCCTGTTAAAACCACCCCACAAGAAGAGAACAGAAAACAGGTGAGGAACTTTCCAAGCAGATCTGTCCAACGTGAAGCAGTAAATGGCAATTCTTCCCCTATTACTAAAAGGGCAAAGGAGAAGAGCTTTCAGATGGCTGGAACACAGACAGCTATGTATTTCAAACCGGAGGGAGCCCTGGCTGGCCATTCCGTTCACAGGCAGTGAGGCCAGCTTCCTTTCATCCAAAGCAAATCATACCAGAGTCAACAAAGCAGGGACCCTTCTCATATCTGGACACTTCAATTCCAGATCTGTGCTCAGCTTGAAAACACCTCGCAGAAAGTCAGTAGGAAGCCAACATTATAAACCCCCAACATGACTTAGCTATCCAGAATTCCCCCGTGAATGGCCATAATCTGATGTTTCTTAGGAACATAAACTCCGTTCAAATCCCTTCTGTCCCCTTGGTCCAATATAACTAGACATATGTTCAATGATGTGCGATAAGGGTTGCTCAAAGGGAGAGGGGGAAAAAAAAAAAAAAAAAAAGCCTTCCTAACCACCTGTAAGCAACCAGCTATGCAGTGATTACTCTGAAATATCAGAGAGAGGCTACAGTCATTACTCCTATTAGAAAGGCTGACACATCGTTAGAGATCTGCCCATCTGAATTAGCAACACTGTACAAACTATTTTAAGTAATACAAAAGTATAGACTTTTATAAAAGGACAAAATAATCTTTCTTTTGAGCTTCCTTCTAAGAAATAATAAGCGTGATGTTAGCAATAAGGAACGTAAAACTGTTTTGGGATGAGGAAATTATTGAATATTACTGTTTATGCCCTTTGGGCTAAATTATTTTGGAACAAATTTCTGTCTTGTTTATATTTCAACAGAATCTTTTCTGTTCATCTCACCTACTCAGATGCAAATCCACTTAATTTAGAATCTAACCAAGATTTATTGTTAATGTATTAAGCATTGCTAGTTAAATATTATTCAAATGTAAATATTCCTGGTATTCCTTCTCAGCAGCAAAGAAGCAGTTTCTTCCTGTGTGTATCAAATGAAACAAAATAAATCTCACCAGACTGGAAGTGTCTTGAATTTTATGAAAAAACTACTGTTTGAATTGTATTTAGAGAGCAAAAATTGGTTTGCTCATGCGTTGACACCAGAGGATTAAGAAACATTAGTCGCTACATGACCCCCTCCAGCCAAAAAGAGTTATCTTGTGTTCAGCTCTAAAGGTTCTCCGCTTCCCCAAACTGACCTTGTTGTGAGGCTGTGCTCCTACCCTTGTTCAGTGACCCTGCATTGCTGTAGTTTGGTGTGACAGTGCTCCAGAGTGCAGTTCTTCTCTGGAGCTCTGCATCTCCAGAAACTGTCCTCTCCATCACCCGTCTCCTCTACGATCCAGAGGAATCATCCTGCTGCCTATTCTCACCTCCACTGTGCTGCACTAACCTATTAATGTGGGGGATATTTCTGCAACAAAGGCCTCATTTGTTCTGCCTCCTATTAGGCACAATCAGATGAACTCCAGTCTGAGCCACACACTCCACAGAATCCACATGTCTCTTTGGGGCTATAAGCTGGTTATCCCATTGATTTTGGGGACAATTTTGAGTTATTCTATTACTATCGTCATTTCCATCATGGAGTAGTTGAACCTGGTGCTACATAGTCATATTAAAGAAAGAAAGGGAACATCTTCACAAGTATCTACATCCTGTCAACTTTCCATACAAATTCTGCTCCTGTTTCTTTTTTGAAAACAAAACTACCATTATCAACAGCACCCAACTTCACCTTTGAAAAGAGATTTACGCACCAGTAAAAGTCAGTGGACCTCAGTGACACCAGGGAGTCCTCACTAAAGGTGGAGGTGTGACTGAAAATACAGTGAATTTCAGGTAAAAAAGAAAAAAGGAACAATAGCATTATAATGAGTAGAGCTCAACGCTAAAAAGCGGGATGTGGATGCCCGTGTGGTAGACTTCAGAATTCTAGTTGTTTCATCCTCTGCGTTCCCACTTTTGATATTTATGCATTATGATGTTACCTTTTATTACAAGAAAAGAATTTTCTCAGACTCCCAGTCTCACACAGGGCAATGGGGAAAACATGAAGAGGAACGAAATTAAGATCACACTGGCTGCACAGTATTTCTGACATTACCAAACTTTCAAGTACTTCACAGGGTAACCTAAAAAGCCTCCAATTTTTAACCCTGTATTTTATACTTTCCTTCAATCTATTAGAATTGATATCCTCTGCAAGAGAACTGTATTTTCCAATCTCAATTCAAATTTCCTCTTTCTGACCAGAGAGAGCTTTAGAGAATATATCAATATATTCATTGGTGGAACAATGGCTACTCACCTTCCTCTCCTTCTCATTTCTGCACACTGGGAACGTACTATCTTTTATAATGTGAAATGGAAAGTCTCATGATTTTTCTAGGTGCATTTCTAACATAGGTATGTCTAGGAAACCGAGGGTTCAATAACGGAAAAATCTCTAGAGAAATGTATTTATGCAGCTGGAGTCTGCCTGCCATAGCCAAGCCCTTACCATTGCTCTCAAATTTATCAACAGTGAATGGTCAAGCCACTTTTCAAGACATTTTGGCATGCAAAATCTGAGGGTATGGTTTCAGGACTGCTTTAAGGTAAGGCAAACGCGGGGTGAAGGGAAAAGGGACTGTTCAATTGTCTCACTCATTCCCACACTACCTCTCTCCCGACCAGACCAAGGAAAGATCTGCATGAGAACTAATCCAAAGGAAACAGAAGAAATCTTTTCTGAGTTGGATCAGTCCCCTGATCTAGTTGACCACGCAACCACATCAATGCCACTACAAGCTCAAAAGAGCATGTGAGACCAGGAGAAAAGTAGCCTCATTCCATTGGGTGGCAGCTCACAATTAGGATAGCTTAAAATGACTTTAAACCTCAGTTCCAGGGACAAAGAGATGGATCCACACTAGCGGGGACATTACGGGCCCTTGCCTTTCCAACAGGCAACTCACCGAGACCCCTGGTGTCACGACACAGCAGTACTCATTGTGGAGGCCATGAGTCGGGAACCACTGCTCTCACAAGCAAAGATCACCTGAAAACAGAGGGGAAAGGAAGAGTTTCACCAGCAAGAATGCACCACATCGCCAAGCTGCCACCCTTCCCTCTGGCACGTCCAGCCACAGAAGAGGAATCAAAACTTGCTCTGAACTACTGACAAGTGGGAGCCTTTGCTCAAACTGCCAAGATTTGTCAGCACTGAAAAAGCCATAGTCAGATTAGAATAGTTTAAAGATGTCTGCTGCACATGAACGTACAGAGGGGAAATAGCTCAGACCTGCTTCAGCCCTCCCACATTTGAGCTAGCTGGATTCCCATGAGCTCATCTGCGCTCCGAGGAGCTGGCACAAAGCTCGTACAAGTAACCTCCCCTTCTCTTCACCCATCTCTCTTCAAAGGCTTACCTTCCCCTCACTTACAAGCCCAACTCTTCTGCCAAACCCCTGCCCTGCATATATACACCTTCAGACAGCCTGACTAGCTATAAGTAAAAACACCAAGCACCAGGTAAAGCCAGGCAGTTGCTCAGTCACATCTAGGGAAAAATCAGGCAGATTTCAGAAGAAGGAAAAAGCACTGTCTACTCTTCTGTCAGCTCCTACTTTATATCATTGTGCTGCACTACAGGAAGAAGTGAGTCCAATAAAAAACTTTCCCAAGTAAGGCATGCTGTAAGTTTGCCCAAGCTAGAGAGGCAGATATGACACTAGATCCCCCCTCGCGCTACAGTTATTTCCTATAAGGCCAAAATAGTTCACAGCCTAAGAACTGATCAGCCACCCTTTCAGTTAATGGAGATAACCCTGCATCAATTAACGTTCAATCACATGTTAAAACAAACATACATAAGAGCCTGAAAGTTCAGCAATACAAAGAAACTCAGACTCTGAGGCATGGCTCAATGGTAAATTTGAGGTCAGTGCAGAATGAAAGAGCAGCTATGTGCCAGCTTCTTCTACCTCACCCTCTTTGAACACTGGGGAGGCTGCAAGAACAGCATGAATCCAGGCAGCATTCAAACTGTCAGGGCCAAATACCATCTCTCAGTGCACTCTCAGCTATTTACACAGCATGGGCAGCACTGCAGTTAAAGTATGACTGCAAATTGAAATCACTACCAGAAGTTTTCTGTGCCATCTCAGCATATTCTGCTGACCAGATCTGTCCAACCCAAACACAAGAGCTGCTGCAAGGCTCAATTAGTTACGCATTGTGAAACCTTGCGCATATTCCCTTCCCTCCGACATTCTCCAACTATTATCTGCTGCAGCTTCACCTGAATAATGTAGCAATACTCTACCATGTAATCTACCCCACCAAAACCGAACTACAAAGCTAGTCCCAAACAATGGAGCTACATTCTCCACCCAGTCCAGCCAAATCAAACAATGAAATCATCGACGTGACAGACCATCCTTATCTAGCTAAGTCACACCTGCAGACAGAAGCCCAAGCAAACACCTATCGCAACAAGCCGCTTCATCCAGTAAAACCTACCACAGCAGCAGAATCATCCCTGAATCCAATTACCCAGTTAGATCGTCTCTTCTCTTTCCCCCACCCCACCCAGCAAAACAATACAGGCTAAACCCTGCCAGTGCCAGTAGGGACACACCTCTATCAAAGCAGCGGCAAGATCACCTTTTCCCTTGAAAGGGAAAACACTCGAACACCAGCCACGCATCAGGACGGGGAGAATCTATCACAGAAAACTGTCAGAGCTCTGTCGCTTGAAACATTCAAGTTCTGCTTGGCACAGCACTGGAGAAAGACGGCTTTACACAACTGGGCTGAAAGGAGGAGACAACCGATCAGACACAAACCACCTTCAAGGCTACACACGCACGTTATTGCAATGCAATCCCATGCCCCGATTTACCATCGTTGCTGCCCATCTGCACGCTCCCAGCCCATGGTTAGTGCAAGACTGCTTGCTCCTCAGTGGATTTAAGAGCAAAAGGGTGAGAGAGTACGTACACAAGCAGTGACCGCAGAGTGACTAACATGACACATATCCACATCGTAGCTTACCTTTTGGTAACTTATTCATGAACCATCCCTTTACTTCTATGAACTAGCCACCATACTACCATAGTGTAAACAAAAGTTTAAAAAAAAAAAAAATCCAAACCAGCTCTTTCCTCCTTTTTCCCTTTAAACTTCAGAGTGGTGCTTCTGTACCTTACAAGTGACAAGTGGCCAGATACTTGGAGATGTACAGTATTACGGCTGCTTCAGCAGCAAAGACTGCAGTTATCATTGATTCACTTCAGTCTTGTCTCCCTCTTTGAGGAGGAGAATGTGGAGAGATGAAATAAAGGCATACCAAGTAGATAAAAGTATCAACCTCGTGGCCTGACTGTGACAGGAAGCATTAAAGGCAAGAAACCTCTTTCTCTGTGTACAAGAGCGAGCACATTTCTTTTTTCCCCAGCCTTTCTGAGACTGTCAATCTGTGCTGGACTGAGGGTGGCAAGAGCCCAAAATCAGCATGGGAAAAGAAAAAAGGCTAGAGACCTGCTGCTACAGAAAACAAACGATGAGTCTGAACACAAGCTGAGCCAGCACCCTGAACTCTAGCTGCGGTAGGGGAGTGGGAGAGAAAGGAGAGAGAGCGCAGAGTAGCAGACTGCTCTGCGAAGAGCTGCGGCTTCAGGAGGGATCAGGAACGGCAGCATCGGCAGCAGGAGCTGTTCAAGTGACTGCTCACCCTGATAGACACCAGGAAAAAACGGGCTGCACGCGTATCCATCAGTGGATTCCCCGGGTGACCTGAGAGGTGGGGTAAGGCAGAGAATCAACCGACACGCTCTTTCAGCACAGTTTTTCTGGGATGGGCTCATCCTAGCCCTCCGACCCTCGTTCGGCCACGTAAGAGGGAGAACAGCTGCACTGGCAAGAGGTGACTCCACTACACCCATAACCCGAGAGCCACCGCTGGCTTTCACCATGTGCCGCACTCCGCGGTTTTGCTAACATTTGCTTATTTCATACACTTGCAGCTGAACAACCCATGTTATTTTGTATAAGCTGTTGTTTAATGAAGTATTTGGTTGCACACCTCGTTGATAAGAGCGCAACCGTGAAACAAGGAGGAGGCAAGAAGCGTTATCCAATGCCTTTACTGAACTGTCTTAAGACCACACGAAAGTAAAAGCAAATAGATAAATTGACATGAATAATCTAACATCACACAAATCTCCCTAGGACATTAAAGGGTATGGGGAGACAGGACACTTTTTAATGCTTTGAACCAGCCCCACTCTCTAGATATGGCCATTACTGAGGGCTTTCAGTTACGCCTTTAAGCCTGCCACCCACTCTTGGCAAAAACTGTCCTCCTCACCCTTTCCCATGAACCCAATATAAAGTATGCTGTAGTAATACAATTAGTACTGGGCCCACCAGTAGCCGAATAGGTTTGCAGAAAACGTCACCTTGCCTTCAGCTGGCCAAGTGCATGCTGGAGCCAGGAAAGCAACTTCAGTCAGCCTAAGCCTGTGCGAGTCTAGCCCTTCCAGACATCATGAGCACTTGTGATGGCCCAGCTGAAAAATAACTCTAGAACAAATACAACTAATTTTCAGCAGATGGGCTTCCTGTTTCAGCCAGCCAGGTGGCCACACACTCACTGGTACTGGCACAAGGGAGGCAGCAGTGACTGACGGCATACATTTGGATAGGCTTAAGCCAGTTGTTCAAATATACCTACATCCTTCCCCTGCCCTGTTCCCCCTCCCTCTCTTCTTAAGCAAGGGCAGAAAATACAGTGGGTACCTGAAGAATAACTGGGGCTAGAGATACAGTGTCAATACACATACCATCTAAACACAAGACAACCCTTCTTGTCCAAGGAAGGAACCAGTAGATAGCCTGACTACCTACTGTGCTGACTCTCCCTGCAGCAGTGTTTGCAAACCTCATCCTCCGATCAAACTACGCCCTCATCAATTGTGCAAGAGCCTTTTACCTGGCATGATCAGCTGCTCCTTCTGCCAGAAAGACAACAGCCACTTGCAACTAGTGGCACCTCATGCAGCACAGGGACCATATTCTGCTCAAAACCTGCTCCCGATTTGGGGAAACTAGCAAGTTCTGTCGTTTCCTGGTAAGCCATAAATGCCATTTGCTTATAAATCGATTTCTCAGCACCAATGGCTGATTTGTTAATACTGAGCTATCAGTTAACAACTTGCAGCCACGGCTAGACACCAGTTTCTAGATGGTCCTAACTTATCCTGGAACAGTATGGACTTTGCTATGTGTACGTCTTGGCAATAAAAAAAGATGCCACACACAAGGTTCTCACAATTTCCCAAAATCAGGAAGACAGAAGTCAGAGAAGTGACTGCTCATCCTAAGTCTGTGCAACATTATCTCTTTGCTTAAATTCTTGTACCAGAAGTGACTCCATCAAGAGAAGAATCCAGAACTTATGTCACTTAATTTTATTTTGCTACATCAATAGGGGGCCTACATAATCTTCACCAGGCTCATTACAACCTCCACAGTGCTGTAAGAGAACCAATCTTTCCTGAAGTCCATTCAAAACAGAGATGGTCACAGAGAGTCCAACCTTTTGCTCTCCATCCTTAAAAATTGCTTTTAGGATAGCCATGACAGAGCACAATGCAAACCCAAAGGCTCAGAGAAAGGAGTGTCCTGTGACATTTCCAGTGTTACCATCTCCTGCTCTCATTTCAGTGGTATCTGCACGGACTATCCTCTTCCTTCCTTCTTCCAATAAGCACAAGGATAACACACACTAGCCACGACGTAAAGGCTGTTCAAGTAGTTATTCACTCTGGGTATGTACAAAACCATTCTAAAATACCCCTTTTGCAATAGACACTGTACATCTTCAAGAGCATGTGGTCCACTAAACTTATAACTACCATTTCAAGATTTGTCAGTAGCACTTTTTGTCCAGAAGACTAAGTGTGTGGGGTTTTTGTTTGTTTGTTCTTTTGGTGCATCTAATCATAATTCAGTAGGTTAATAATACAGTGAGGAAGAATAACTCTCCTGAGGAAGAATAACTCTCCTAGACTGTTTCTGATTTTGCACAGTTTTCCACAATTCCTTCCATACAGCAACGGAGGAGACAGACGCAGAGACTGGTGAGCAGATTCAAGGTGTATACACACATTTGAAGCTCCATTCAGTTTTCCAGCTGGTGCTCTGGTATAAAACCATGAACTCCTCAGTCTGCCTCAGACTGGAGCGTGGTCTTTTGGTAAACTCTCGACATAGTTCCAGAAATCCATTTTGGAAAAAGACAAAGCCTAAGATACAACTATCGGTGTCTGTACAAGAAGGCTATGAGCATCTGCTGCTGCTGCTAACACCATTTCAGCCTCACCAGCATTAGCAACATTTGCAGCTATAGGTCAGCCAGGCTGCTCTTAGGGCGTGACGCCGTCACATAACCCTTAATACATGTGACGTCACGCTAACATCAGTTCAGCCTCAGTGTATTTCAGTGCAGTTGCCAATATCAGTTCGGCTCCACCTATGTTAGCAATGTTGGGAGCAGTCTATGTACATTACCACTGGAGTTTTGAGCACTTCACGTGTAGCACCACTTACCTTAGCAGCGGCCTGTCTTGTTGTAGAGTCCCTACTATTGTTAACGCTGATAAAGATCAAATGCTTTTAGCAATAAGGGATTTTTCAAAAAATGTTTTATCAGTATTTCCCTAATATAAGAAAGGCTTCTATGGCTTACTACACCATGTTAGCAGTTTCACACCTAGCATCAGTCAACACTACATGCAGAAGCCCAGTGGGCAATACTGGAGTTTCCACGCACTGCCTTCATAGTGTCGCCTTCTATCAAAATTTGATCCGCTTCTCAGGAAGCGGGTAACATGTCTGGAGCTAGAGGAGATCTCTTTTCCCTTACTTCTCCGGGTTTATTTTTCAGAAAGTTTAAATAGAAGCATCAGCATGGACAACAGGTAAAAGACACCTGCAAAAACCATGTCAGCAGCGCATTCTTCAGAAACTAACCCACGGAGGAGAAAAAAAAAAAAAGATGGAAAAAACAATGGATAGGAAGACAGGACTAAAGAGATACCAGTTTGTCCTTCAATATATAGTAACTCCACAACGTTCAAGCAGAAGGCTTGGGAGAAATAAGCTACCTATCAGTTCAGCACGGAAAGACGCAAGTACTTTTTCTATTTATTTCTGTATCCCTTCTCTACGTTTCCAGAACAAAAGATACGAAGCAGTCCTCAGGCATAACACCTCAGGCTGCAATCCTGTCAGTTTTCATAAGCTAAATGGGGCTGCGATGGGTCAGTATAGGACAGACCTCCTCCAAGGAAAATCTAGCGCCACAGCCAGTAGTAATTCCCCAGGATGCTGTAAGGGGACATTACACACGATGCCTTTCAGAATTGCTGGGGGCGACCCACACAGATACTTGGTCTCTCTCTCTCTCTCTTATCCCACATGAGCAGTTTTTCAAGGCTCCCCTAAACATCACTACCTTCCAGCACTGCCTGCTACACCAGTTTTCATTCAGTACTGTCACCACCAGACGTCCCTCCGCTCTTCTCCCTTGCACCCTCCGCTCTTCTCCCTTACACGAGCCCTCCTGCAGTTCTATAACAACACATACTCGCACTGGGGGAAGTCAGCAGGGCAAAGCAGGCATTCCCACGGGGGCAAAGCTGAAGAATTACTACATTTTATGTGGCTTACAATAGTTCTCCTAGTGGGTAAGGTGTGTGTCAAGGGGTACGTGTTCCTGACAAGTTGAACTTCTCACTCCTTTGCTTTTAGGCCCACGTTAGGCATGTTGTAGGTATCACAACCTTATGTGACACAAAGTGCTTCTGCATACTGGTTTCCCAGTTGTTAAATGTAGGATTTTCAACAGAGCAATGACTCTACTAACGAGTAAGGAACTTCAAAGAACTCTAGCAAGCAAACAGTGCACGTGCACAGTACTCTGAGATGCTACATGATTATATCAAAGCTGCTGGGATGAAAAACTGATGTTTTATAAATAACACAAGGTCACCGAAAAGATCTCAAAGCACTGCATGTAAAAATTTTATTTTTACAAGAAATTAAGCAATTCTATAATGAGGTCTATTATCGAATCTGCTCCTATGGTAAGCTCTTATAAAAGTATGAAGTATATGCAATTCCAATTGCTGCAAAATCCTCCCTCATTCAACACAAGATGCACACATTTAGTATTTTTCTAGTTAGCCACTCATGTACAGCAAAGCCTAAACTACTTCAAAGTATTTACTGCACTGTGTAAACACAGCGCTATTTTCGAAGACTCATAACTGTCAAATCAAAGCTAGCTTTCACGAAAGCGTTCAGAAGCATTTCTCCTGGATGGTGGCTATTTGCCTGACAGTTTCAACTTTCTATCCCCAGTCACAAGAAGGTTAATTTTTTTTTTTTTTTAAGAGACAGGAGAAAGCATTTTCTTGCTAATAAGCTGTCAAGCCACTTGGGCCTTACGTTCTTTACTCCCTTCTCATCCATACATATAAAATGTCATGGAAAATTTCAGTTCTACTGGTGAAAGTTCTGCAAAGAGCTCCTCTGTTCATCACATTGCCTAAACTCTTCACTGCAAAAGCTCTAACTGTAGAAGCTGCGGCTGCTTCACTTTGACAGATTACAGCTTTGCTTTATATTACACTGCAAATATATTTCTAATCAATCCTCAAACAAAACCAGTTTGGTACATCGATAAAACATTACCATTTCACAGGCAGAGGAAGAGTTATATCAAGACCCTTAAGTCAGTTTAGCAACATGCTCAACTCCCCACCATCTGAGAAAGAGCCTAATGCTTGACCTTTACACAGTGCTTTTCACAGTGAAACACCAAAACAGGGTTTTCCTCAGGTTTTGCATAATTCCACATACTCTGCAAAGGTGGCAAAGATGGCTTCATGCAGCATACACAAGCAGGCACATAGATTTAAAGCAGTTTGTGGAGCATAAGTAACATAGCCTAGTCGATAAAACACAAGCATATTAAGAGTCAGGTTCTGTTCTCAGCACTACCACCAGACCCAGCCTAACCTGGTTAGAAAGAGCCCTTGGGCCTCCTCCAGGCTACTGATAGCGTCGTCCTTTGGTCAGCAGGCACAAACGACGACAACAGGCACATGAAGACCATCCAGGTGAAAAGACGGGACAATAATTCAAAGCTCCCTTGCTCTGCTACTACGCAGACAGCCCCACCAGAAAGTTAAGTAGCAAGAACACAGCGAGAGCCCTTTCCTACGAGGCCGAGCACTCGTGAAAACGAGACAACCAGTTCTGAGTAATTATAAAGGCTAAGAGCACACAGCAGGTAGCTGTTTGGCTACCCATGCCTGAATGGCACCTGCTCTGAAGCGAATACAGAATAAGGCAAGCTCTCCCTCCGTTCTATACGCAGCTAAATTATTGTATGTGTCACACGCTATCTTCCCATACATCGTCACTCAGGAGCACTTAAAATCAGTACTGTTTTCAAGACTACAGCACCCAATTTTCAGTGAACTCTCAGAGGACATTGCTTCACAACCTTTCAGCCCCACTATGTTGCAAGAATTATATCACTGGTAAAAGTGTACTTTCCATTTCCCTTCCTTCATAAGCATTCCACTGATTCTGCCTGAGCTTTACAAACAAACAGACAAATAAAAACCACACCTCATTGTTCCGCTTTCCATCTTCATTCCTTATTCCACAAGCTCCTCCTCAGAGGCCAGACAAGGAAGAGCTTACCTCTGCTATTAAGTTTGTCTGAAAGAAAGGGAACTCTGAGCACATTTAGCTGCCCTAAAGAGATAACACTCACTCTTCAGGTACAGTAATCTGCAAATTTTTAACAGTCTTCAAAATACGTTCAGTGAGTGTTGTCAAAACAGATCAAAAGCCGCGCTGAGATCTGACTCTGCTGAAGGGCAGGTAGGAACAACCCATAGACAAATGTAAAAACTCAGGTAGCAGCAGTTCACTTTTCACCGTGGCCACAGTTTAATATCTCAAAATAGACTTCAGGATGGGTCACCAGGATCAGACCAGAAGCCCATGCAGTTTAATAGTGCATCTCAAACACTAGTCTCAGTCAAGTTTTTGGAGAAATGTGTGAGAAACCCTCAGTAAGCCCATGCAAAACAAGCTATTCCCCCCCCCCCGCCCCTTTCCCCAATATAGAAGCACATCTGTTACGGCAGAACAAAATAAAGTTTTTGACCACAGGCTTAATATCTCTTCCAAAATTTCTACTGTCACTGATTATCATAATTGAATATTCTTCATATTCCTACAGACATCTGATCCTTTTTAACTCCTGTTGCATTCTTGCTCCTGATGATTCTCACAGCATGAGTTTCACTGCTTAATTGCAACCATACTAAATATTCTATCATCAATTTATACTATATGTTCCATATCATCAGACAGTCTTGAAGCAGCAGAAACCTCTCCATAGCTAAACTTACACACTCCTCTCTTTGCCCTTTTTAAAGCTGCTTAAAAAGGGTTTCTCTTTTCATACATTGCATATATGTTCAGAGATCAGAAGCATTTTTGGCAAAAAGAATGAGGTAAATTGAAGGAATGTTCTCAAGCTAGGGAAGCTGTAACAAATAGGTGTAAATAACATTTAGCAAGTTTAGCAGACTCTTAGGGGTGTAGGTAGATGAGCATTTCTTTTGGCAGCAACACCAGCTTAAAAAACTGCTGCTACCAATATTGACTTCCACCTCTGCACCACACTGTCTGATGTGCTGGTACAACTGTTTGCACGACCAAACAGCGAACTAGTTTGGCAAACCGATCCAGGCTAAATACAACCATTTTTTGCCAGGCTACTTACAACCTGGATCAGTTCCTTGATCCATTTCAGCATACAGCTGCTCAAGCAGCAGTGCTAGCACAAATGAAGGGCTGGTGTAGAATCAAAAAGGGTATGCGCTGAGGACTTCTTAAAAGCCAACTCCAACACCAGAAAAAACCCTCACAGACTAGCCTATGAACAGAGGAAGGCTTGGCATATCCATAAAAATATGGTCGCAAAATACAATCCCACTTTTTCAAAAAGTGTGAATAATGCTCATTTTAAGGATCACATCAGAACAGCTAATTTGGATTCAGCAAACATTGGAACATCACCTTATGTTTTGTTGTTATCAAGTTAACTAGTGTTTTTAGGACTCTGCGTGGTCTTAAATGCAACTCTTAAGTGGAAAAAAAAAAAAAAGGAACTTGAGAAATTTCTGATGTTCTTAAAGATTAGCTGGAAGCCCTAATTATGAACAAGTAAGGACCCTGTTCTGTTCTTGTACAGTCCCTAGCACAACGGAGGTCCAGCTCAATAAAACTTTTAAAACGGACAAAAACTGAAAGACAAGTAAAAGTATAGGGGGAAGCTATTTTAAATATGATAAGAACAGCAGTATTCAGACAAAAATTCAGCGATCAAATCTCCTTCCATTCACAACTTGCTCTGAAAGCCTGGGTTAACACCTTCATTTTGCTAGCGGGAACACTCCAGGGGGACTCCAGCAGAGCTTGTAAGCAGGAAATCCAAGCCCATAGCAAATCTTGCTAGGTTAAAGGACTTTGTATCTATGTAAACAGACCACAGACCTTACTGAGGCACAGAGATTTCTGTGAAGTCCAAGGCCATGCAAACCAGATAGAGGGATTTTAAGAAGGCTGTCTTCATTGCTCTTAAGAAATTCAGGTATCTAGAAAAGGAAAGAGATCAAACCATGCTAGGTAACAGAGATGACATCTAGGATGTGAATTAGTGTGAATATTCACTTGAGTGCAAATTGCTCCATAGGCTAAAAATAAAAGGTTTTTTTTCCCCACTGACTTTATAAAAGACCAGCAAAATTCCTAAGCCATACACAGTTTGCAATGCAATAGAATTGACATGGCATGTCAGGCACTCAAGAGGGAAGAAATCTAGAAAGAAATGGAAAGTCAACATATTACAGAGTTGAAAGTCTGTGAATAGCTAAGAAATATGGATCAAAGCTATTCCATTCCTATCCACCTCAAACATATAAACTATGCACAAAAGTAGTTGCATATGAGTATTTTAGCACTGTGGCTTATAGTTGCCTCAACTTCTATATTTGGATACTTAGTGACAAATGTAGTCTCTTCAGCTGTGAACTCACCCTAACTGAAAGCAATCCAAGCGCATGAGCTTTAAAGATGAAATGGGCAGGGGGGAGGGGGGGGGAAAGCCCATACCCTTTGTTTTCATAATATACAGAAGAGGTCTACAAAGTTTCTGGTTGTATGAATAGAAAGCTATTTATTTCCTTTCACATTAAAATTCAGGTCTTGCCTAGCTCCAAAGACTGTGTTGAATGATGAACAAATTAAGAGATCACAAGAGCTGGAAGTGAGAGAGACCCCCCCCCCAATAAAATGCAAGAAACCCCAATACACAGATGCCTACCCCACAAAAAGATGGTAACAATGGTATTGTCATATTCTAGCAACCTCCCTCACACCACAGCAGACCACAGCAGTTTCTGCCAGAACCTCTTTACTGCGTCTATGAACTAAATAATTTATAGGGGGAAAATTATGCTGGTAAGTCCACAACAGAACTTTTACCAAACATTGCCAAAAACAAGTACATAGATGCCCATACAAAATACATCCCAGAAGAACGTCTAATGCTAACCTGACCAAAGATGAGCAGCTGAATGGGAGGGGGACTTAGACAAAAACTTGTTTAGGTTTTTTTTTTTTTGGTTGGTTTTGTTCACACTTATTTAACGTCAATGATTGATTAACATTTTGGATAAAGGAGGTCTTTGTTAGTGATTCAGCATCTCCACCCCTTCAATTAAGGTGTTAAGAGTTCACAACAGTGCAATCAGACCCAAGATATTCAGTCCCCTTCCCATTAAAAAAAAAAAAAACTAGGAAAATTTTGAATCTCAAAACTGACATCGTTTCTAACTCCAACTTAAAAAGAAAGCTGCCTTTCTTTTGTTGTTTGAGGAGGGGCCAGCATGAGAGACAGAGAGAGAATACGAGCCCTTGAGCCATTTTTATGCTCTGAGGAAGAAAAAGGGACACATTCATTACAAATAATCTCTTTGGAGATCACTTTAAAAAAAAGAAAAATACAGAGCCATCATGCCCAACTTGTCCAAAATGACTATAATATCTCATCATACCAACTCCTATGATTTCCAGTAAAAAGCAGATCAGTCTACTATGGGATGCGGATACATGTGCACTTCTGCTAGTACAGCTCTGCTGCAAGTGTAGGATAAGCACAGAACAACTATGTTAGCCCTTACTCAGCTTCACAAGTTCAACATCTGTAACACCCTACTGTATGCAGCTATCAGGCATTACAGCCTGAAAATAAAGCAGGATGGAGATAAACAAAAAGAAGACAGAAATAAAGCCATTTAAGAAGGTTAATTATTTCATTCCATACATATTTTTTATTTGAATTCATGTTGTGCATTGCCTACCTTTCCAACACTTGCTTTTGTAATACTTTGAGCAATCACTGACCCAATATTATTTTTCAAATAAAATATGCACCTCTTCTCTGCTTTTAAAGCGTGATGCATTCGAGGATGCCTCACAGTATCGTACAATGTCTGTATGGGCTTTTCACAGAGCAACACTAATTAAATACTTTCGAGGAAAATAAAAATGTTACTGGAACTTACCCTCGGTTCCCCCCCACAACAGCAACATACAGAGCTGTCTCCTCCCCCTTCCTCTAACCCTTTTTTGACAGTGGAGTGAGTAGCCGCCAAAGCAAGGCTTAATGAGGCAAACTTGACTTGGCACAACCTTCTTTTCCTCTCCCTGTCCCAAAGTCAGTGAGGTTAACAAATGCCCAAACTAAGCAGAAGCTGTTATTTTTCAAGGTAAGGGCTGCAAGATTTGATGCTCTTCTTCCACAAAGTAAGGCTTCTTGGCTATTTCTAGACCAGTCCTGGACTCCAAGTCAGGCTTGGCCTCTGCAGAATAAAAGTGTCTTCTCTTTCACATTAGCGGACTTTGAATTTTTCCACAATCAATTATCTATCATCATTTATTATTTCATACTTTTTCT